AATTATGTAATTATATATGTATAAAACTGTCTTATTTTGAATAATTCAAAGAGCCTATTGGTTCAAAATTCCTTGTTTTGAAGCAATTGTTAATAAAAAAAAATATTTAAAAGTTATTTTACTAATTACACGATAGTTTTGAGTAAAAATATAACGAATGATAAAATTAATCTAGACTATATATTTTGAATATAGTAGTGAATAAGCAATGATATATTTTTTCTATTGTGAAGTAATCATGGTTTCCTTTTAGTTTTTTGTACTTTGAAAATCTATCTCTCTTTTTTTTTTCACTTTGTCTTTTTGATAGGCAATTATGATGATTGGTGCATAGGACATTTTTGATACTATTTTTCCATTGTAGCATGTCTTGTTGAAACTTATTGGATATTATAATTAATGTGTATGTATTTTCTTCATATGTTTTGGCAGATATCATGGAGGCTAGAAGATCAATGTAAGTTATTTATTGCTATATAATAAAATTATGCTATGGTTCTATGCATATTTGTTCCATTACTGATTTTCTATTAGTTGTAATATTTTCTTCATTGTTGTTTTTCCTCTTTTCTATTATTATACTTTGATCTGTTCATTTGAATTAAAGGTCTTTTGAAAATAGTCTCTTCATTTTCATGCGATCAAAATAAAGCTTATGTATACTTTATTCTACTTTATAAAATTTCACTGAGTATATTATTGTTGTGGTAATATATTATTGATATAGAAGCAAATAATATATTTTAGTTTGAACAAGCAATCTAGCATTTAGGGTGTTTTGGTAGGAAGGAAATTATTAATTCTTGTGAAATAATTTTTTTTTCCAAAAACCATCTTCTGAAAAATAATTGAGTAGAAAATATTATATTAAAAGCACTTGAAATGATATTTGTGTAATTTATTTTTCCTAATTTCATTAAGAAAGTCATTTTCTTCGTATTTATAGATAACATTAAAATACTTATAAAAATATTAGCCTTGCAATTTGTTGGAACCTTTTAAGCAAAGAACCCCAAAACTTAGAAAATAAGTTTTACTAGAAAATGTATCATACATTTTTTTTTTTGGTGGAAAAGTAGTTGTTCTCTAAAATAACAACACATAAGTAAGGGAAATAAAAACCATGTGAGACTGAAAAATTATTGGTTAAAAGATGGTAGAGTAGTTGTATAATCTTAATTTTATAATCTCACTTTAATTAGACTAAGCAACCTTTTAATTAATTGGAGATTTATTAGATTAATTAGTTTGTGGTGATCCAACATGTGGTAGGTGAACAATTAACTGTTCAACCTAGGTTTAAGAAATTATAATAATATTTTTAATATGTGGAATACTATTATTTGTTGAAGGACAGATTAGTTACTTGTTGAAGTAGCTAAGCAATGCCATCTACCTCTTTCTTAATTAGAAGTTTCGTATTTAGGTTTTAAAAATCAAAATCGATATTAATAAACATCATTTTCACCTTAAAATAAATTTCTTAGCGTGAATTAAAAATAATTGAAAAAAACAAATACTGAACACTAATGTAATGAGATGTTAAGGATATTAATTATCATTCTAATTACTTTTTTTTTAATTTAATATTTAAATCAACTTTTTTATTTTTTTACTACTTGTACATAATTTTCACAGAGAAGATGCATGCAAAAGGAGATTACAAAAAATAAAAGTGAAGGATGTTGGAGGTATAAAGCCTCTCCAAAACCCTTTTCAAGAGAAGAACACAAATTGCAAGTTTCATCCTCTAAAGCTTGTGTTATTTATCATTGTGATTGGTACTTTCTACATGATTCTATCTTCCCCTTCTGTTTGTCAACATAATAATGCTGACACTGTTTCAAGGTATGCTCTACTTCATATCTACTCTAATATATATTTATATCAGTTTAACTTCTCTATACTGATAACACAACATAAGAATTGCAAAAAAATGACAGAAATCACACCTTTAAGTACTCTTTTTATCATTATCTCCTATTAGTTTTACAAATTCCTAAAATCTTTCATTTTTCACACATCAGATTAGTGTATCAGCGCATCAAATTAATGTATCTCGCGCATCAGATTAGTGTATAATGTATAAAATGTACATCAGATTAGTGTATCATGTATAGAATGTAATATATCTTGCTTAACTATTAATGTATCTCGCGCATAAGATTAATGCATCATCGCTTATATTATTGTATCAGTTTGAGGAATTTGTGTGATTATAAACTTATAAGGAACAAATAATAATTTTACCTTAAAAGTATGTGATTTCTGTCAATTGCCCATAAGTTTAACGCAAAACTAGTTATTTATGAGAGGGCCTAGTCATATATTTATGGGCCTTCTTACAATAGGCCTTACTAGATTGTCAATAAGGCTTACATTACTATCAGTCCACATCATTACATCAAGTGATTTAGGTGCAATAAGGAGTCTCTGGAAACGGTAGAGTGTACGCAAATTTTATTTTTATCTCAATAGTAGAGAAATTGTTTCTGATATATCCTTAATGATAATTGGAGAAAATGGAGAAAAAACAAATTACTACTCCATCTACTTCATTTGTTGTATTATCTTTCTCTTCAGTTTGTTTAAAAATTTGATAACTTGTTAATATCGACTTTTCATCTGACATGTATGAGACCATAAGATTAAAAGATATTACGTTAAGATTCACATGATTCAAAAGGGTTCTTTACTTTCTTAAGCTCAACGTCAAGTCAGACCAGACAAACAAATTGAAACGAAGGGAGTACTTCACCGAATTGGTCATAGCTTAGTTTGTTTATTAATGTAAACAAATTATATAATGCAGGCAACATTTTGTGAACAGGTGGATATGGGGTGCCTCTGATCCTAGATACATATCAGATATAGACATTAGCTGGGAAGAAGTATCACAAGTTTTGGAACAATTGCCTAATCAAAACAAAGTTGTTGACAACATTGGCCTTCTTAATTTCAACAAAGATGAAATCAGTGAATGGACACAAGTTGTTCCTAATGTTAATCAAACAGTACTTCATCTTGATTACGTCGAAAAAAATGTGACTTGGGACACCTTGTATCCTGAATGGATTGATGAAGAACAAGAAAATGAAGTTCCAAGTTGTCCTACTTTCCCAAAACTTGAAGTCCCTAGGACACGATTCGATCTCATAGCTGTCAAATTACCGTGTAGGAATGAAGGGAATTGGTCTAGAGATGTTGCGCGATTACACTTACAACTTGCTGCTGCTGGTTTAGCTTCATCTGCTAAGGGTATACATCCTGTGCATTTGCTTTTCATAACCAAATGTTTCCCTATACCGAATCTTTATAGGTGCAACGAGCTCGTTGCTAGAAAAGGTAACGCGTGGTTGTACAAGCCAGACTTGAGTGTACTAAGAGAAAAAGTTCAACTTCCTGTTGGATCATGTGAACTTGCATTACCCTTTGGTACAACAGGTAAGATAGATATACTTTTACCCTTCTTTTGATGTAAACGCCACAAAAAAAATCGAGTCTTGATAGTGTTTATGTTATGGTAACAGAGGAAGTACATTCGGGGAACAAAAGACGCGAGGCATATGCAACCATCTTGCATTCAGCTCATGTATATGTATGTGGAGCTATAGCAGCAGCACAAAGTATTAGAATGTCAGGGTCTACGAGAGACCTCGTTATTCTTGTTGATGAATCGATTGGTGAATATCATCGAAGTGGACTCGAGGCAGCAGGTTGGCAAGTTAGGACTATACAGAGAATAAGAAATCCTAAAGCAGAGAAAGATGCCTACAATGAGTGGAACTATAGTAAATTTAGACTATGGCAGTTGACAGATTATGATAAAATCATTTTCATTGATGCTGATCTTCTTATACTTAGAAACATCGACATCTTATTTAGGATGCCACAGATTTCAGCCACGGGGAACAATGGGACGTTGTTTAACTCTGGTGTGATGGTGATCGAGCCATCAAATTGCACGTTCCAGCTATTGATGGATCATATAAATGAGATTGAGTCTTATAATGGAGGTGATCAAGGGTACCTAAACGAGATATTCACGTGGTGGCATCGTATACCAAAGCATATGAACTTCTTAAAGAACTTCTGGATTGGTGATGATGAAGTAGTGAAGGCAAAGAAAACAAACCTTTTCGGGGCTGACCCTCCTGTACTTTATGTACTTCACTACTTAGGATACAAACCATGGTTGTGTTTTCGCGACTATGATTGTAATTGGAATGTAGACATATTACAAGAATTCGCGAGTGATGTTGCCCATCACAAGTGGTGGAGAGTGCACGATGCAATGCCCGAGCAACTACAAGACTTTTGCTTGTTACGATCCAAGCAAAAGGCGCAATTGGAATGGGATAGAAGGGAAGCAGAGAAGGCTAAGTATGTTGATGGACATTGGAAGATGAAGATCAACGATCGACGACTTAAGAGATGCACAGACAGGTTATGCAATTGGAAAGGTATGTTGAAGCATTGGGGTGAAAAGAATTGGACAGATGATCCATTTTTTCACCCTTCACCACCAACCATAAAGACTAAGAAAACATCATCCATTTCTGTTATATAAACAAACATTTTGTTGCTTTACACTTTTGTTATGTATGTTGAGCAATTTTACACTTTTAAAATAATTTTAGTTCTGTGGCATAACAAGTTAGAGTCTCAGAGCATTATACTCTGTATATCCAAATTTCTAGCGAAGAAAACAAGCCGTTTAAGTTTATATAGTTTGAATTTTGAACATAATAAACCATCGATACAAATTTCAAAAAATTATTATCACTTACTACTATATACCTTTATATTCTATACCTATGACATATGTATAATCTTTTGTCATCCAAATTTAATGTAATTTGCCTCGTGTAAAACCAACCCTCCAACGGCCAATAACTCACGTAAACCATACACAACACCATTGTAATTATCTATAAATAATCCAATCCATTTTATTATTTCACAAAAAAAAGAAAAAAGATCTTTTCATTTCAAACAGAATGATATCTCAATATTTTTCTCTAGTATTTTTATCTCTTTTCCTTTTCTTCTTCTCTAGTTCGACGAAAAATTCAGCTACTCCCATTTCCTTCCCTCCGTCTCCGTCTCCGATTGAAATTCAATTAGCTTGTAAAGCTTCACCGGACCCGCCAACATGTGAATCCGCATTAACGGAATCTTCACACATTCCGTCAAATCTAACGGCGTTACAAATCATCCTCTCCGCGTTAAGCGTTTCATCTCACAACCTCACGAATGCTCAATCAATGGTGAAGAATCTCCTCGACTCCGCCGCCGCCGGAGACGTCAACCTCACCGGCGCCGCGAAAAATTGTTTACAAGGACTGGGTAATTCGGTGTACAGGTACAATCTGACGGCTGCTGCATTGCCACGTGGAGAAATCAAGGATGCTCGAGCATGGATGAGCGCCAGTTTGGGTTACCAAATCGGCTGCTCATCGAATTTACTGAGAGTAAACGGAACCCTACCGGTGGCGAAAACGTTAGAGGTGATAAAAGGTTTAATTGGATTTACTACAAATGCGTTATGGATGATGGTGAATTATGATATCCACGGGAATAAAACCGGCTCGTGGGCCCCACCTAAAACGGAGCGAAACGGGTTTTGGGAAGTTGTGTCAGGATCCGGATCCAGGTTTAGAGGTGGGGTGCCCTCGGGGTTGAGCCCAAATGTGACGGTTTGCAAAGATGGTAGTTGTAATTACAAGATGGTTCAAGAGGCAGTAAATGCAACCCCGGATAATTTGGGATCCGAGAAGTTTGTTATACGGATTAAAACCGGGTTATATGATGAGATAATTCGAATACCCTTGGAGAAGAGAAATGTGGTGTTTTTAGGTGACGGAATGGGTAAAACCGTCATTTCAGGATCGTTGAGTGTGGGCCAAACACCTGGAATGTCCACTTATGAATCTGCCACAGTTGGTAAGTGAATTATAGTTTATTAAATAAAAAATGATCACATAAATTAAAATACGAAGACGGGAAGAAAATTACTTGAAGAAGTCAACTTGTAGTTGATAGCTAAGTTTCACAAGTGATATTTAACGTCTGATTGATCGATTAATCTAATTTTTTTTCTAAAACAGGAGTAACTGGTGATGGATTCATGGCTAGTGGTTTAACAATCCAAAACGCAGCTGGTATAGGTGCAGGACAAGCAGTAGCTTTTCGGTCTGATAGCGACCATTCAGTAATTGAAAACTGTGAATTTCTTGGGAATCAAGACACACTCTACACACAATCATTACGACAGTACTATAAATCATGTCGAATTCAGGGGAACGTAGATTTTATTTTTGGTAACGCGGCTGCAATTTTTCAGGACTGTGAAATCCTAGTCACTCCCCGGGTAGTTAACCCCGAAAAAGGTGAAACTAATGCAGTAACTGCTCATGGTAGATTAGACCCTGGACAATCAACAGGATTCGTATTTCAAAATTGTTCGATCAACGGAACGAAAGAGTACATGATTTTGTATCGTAGTAATCCGAATGTGCATAAAAATTACCTCGGGAGGCCTTGGAAGGAGTATTCAAGGACAGTTTTTTTGAATTGTAATTTAGAAGTTCTGATCCGCCCTGAGGGCTGGATGCCATGGAGCGGCGAAGTTGCTCTCGCGACGCTCTATTATGGTGAATATAAAAGTAGTGGTAATGGAGGTAATGTAACAGGAAGAGTGCCATGGAGTAATCAAATTCCAACTGAACATGTTGAGTCTTACTCAGTTAAAAATTTTATTCAAGGGGATAAATGGATACCTCCATCTTCTTATTAAGAGGCTCTTCTATAGGCTTTTACAAATTTAGTGAACTTTCTTTTACATAAATTTAGGGTCCATATGGACATGATTTCAAGTCTTAATTTGAAATTAGATTGCTTAATTTGAAGTTAGAATTTTATTTGTATTTGTAATTTTTTTGTTTATATATAAACATGAAAACCTTATAAATAATGAATCGACGTTTATAAAATATTGCAAAGTAAACTATTTATAAATAATTGAAATGACCTAAGACAACATAATGTTGAATTAATATATCACATATTTTCATGTTTTCTTATAAACAAGAGCATATTGAGCTTAGGCCTTCAATGAAAATTTATCGTGTTTATATTTAATTAAAATTACTATATATATATATATATATATATATATATATATATATATATATATATATATATATATATATTTTAAAATATAAATAGTTGATGAACTAGTCGAAAGGTGTCAACATATACCCTCTTTAGAAATAGCAATAATTGTCGATCTAATTAAGAGGATGTTTGAATTGACTTAAACATTGGCAAAATTTACTTTTAAGTCAATTTTTTACTTTTAGAAGTGTTTGCCAAATAGAAAAATAGCTTAAAATAAGTTAGAAAATGTTTAGTCAGGTTAAAAATAAAATAAGTTACAATGACTTATAATAAAATAAAAATTAAAAGTAGATCTCCCTCTACTTTTTACTTGACTCAAAAGTCATTTTAGTTTGACTTTTTATTTTTGACTTAAAAGTCATTTCAGTTGACTTTTTATTTTTGATTTAGAAGTTAGTATGACTTTATATTTTTGACTCAAAAGTCATTCCAGACTTTTTACTGTTGACTCAAAAAATACCTTTTTAAGTCAATCCATACAAGCTCTAAATATGTTTGACTAGATTATGCAATTGTCCTTTTTACCGTTATTTATTGTATTATATCGTTAATTTAAGTACAATATTTATTTTTATTGCATCATCAAATTGATTATTAACTAACAACGTAAAATCTCATTTTGTGTAAGGATTTGATTCAGTGTAATAACATCGTTTTATAGTAAGTAATATAATTTTAAAATAGCTTAAAATAAGTTAGAAAGTGTTTAGTCAGGTTAAAAATAAAATAAGTTACAATGACTTATAATAAAATAAAAATCAAAAGTAGATCTCCCTTTACTTTTTACTTGACTCAAAAGTTATTTTAGTTTGACTTTTTATTTTTAATTTAAAAGTTATTTCAATTGACTTTTTATTTTGATTTAAAAGCTAGTTTGACTTTTTATTTTTGACTCAAAAGTCATTCCAGACTTTTTATTGTTGACTCAAAAAAATACTTTTTTAAGTCAATCCATACAAGCTCTAAGTATGTTTGACTAGATTATGTAATTGTCCTTTTTACCATTATTTATTGTACTGTACCGTTAATTTAAGTACAATATTTATTTTTATTGCATCATCAAATTGATTATTAACAAACAAAGTAAAATCTCATTTTGTGTAACGATTGATTCAGTGTAATAACACCGTTTATAGTAAGTAATATAATTTTAAAATAACTTAAAATAAGTTAGAAAGTGTTTAGTCAGGTTAAAAATAAAATAAATTGCAATGATTTATAATAAAATAAAAATCAAAAGTAGATCTCCCTTTACTTTTTACTTGACTCAAAAATCATTTTAAGTTTGATTTTTTATTTTTGACTTAAAAGTCATTTCAATTGACTTTTTATTTTGATTTAAAAGTCAGTTTGACTTTTTATTTTGACTCAAAAGTCTTAAATTTTTTATTGTTGACTCAAAAGAAATCTTTTTAAGTCAATTCATACGAGCTCTAAGTATGTTTGACTAGATTATATAATTGTCCTTCTTACCTTTCCGCTTATGAAAAAAAAAATCTTTGGTAAATCTCATTTTGTGTAACGTTAATTTAAGTACAACATTTATTTTTATTGTATGGTCAAATTGATTAGTAAACATAAAATCTCATTTTGTGTAACGATTGATTCAGTCTAATAACATCTTTTTATAGTTAGTAATATAATTTTAAAATACCTATTTTACCCTTAGTCCATGTACAACGTCCTTCTCCATTTCCTATAAATAGTTGCAAGAGCCACAAAGCAAGCAAAAGGACGCTAATGGATTCTTCTATATCTGTCTCTACTGTGGCTTCGGTAAAATTTAACTCTTGCATTTCACTTTTTATCTTTATTTTCGTAGTGGGTTGATTATTTCGCGTTTGTGCAAAAGTTCTTTTTTTTTTTGTTAAAGAACTCATTTTTTTGTTTACATTTTCAATTTTTTCAATGAAGAGGGGTTTTGAAGGCGAAATCATCAATGGATTGTTATGGGTTTTATGCAAATGCGTATAACTGTGTTGCTATTTCTCTACTTTTTAAAATTTTTGATTTTTTGGTTTGTTTGTTTATAGTTGTTTGAGATATGGCGATGATAGACTCTGAGTATGTGTGTTCTGCTTCTGGAGTTTTAGAGTTTTATGATGTTTTTTAGGAACCCTTTTTGTTTTTTTTTGGTAAATTTGTTTGTTTTGACTGTTCGATTAGCAAAAAAAAATCATTTTTACACCCATTTTTGAGAGTGATGTGTTGCTCATTTGTTTTTTTTTGTCCCTTCATCTGTAACTTTTTGTATTAACATGAAAGTGGGATGTAGGGTTTAAGAAACGGTGGGGAGCGAAGACGGATTAAGGATTTAAAGTTTATGGGTTACTAGATCAAGCTCGAGTTAATGTATAATAATAATTGGTTTCAGAGTCAAACACTTATAGATATATAGTGAATTTCTTAATATAGATAGAGTAGGTTTAAGTAAAAGTTATTGAGTTCTCGAGAACCCATAGATTCTCTTCTACATCCGTCCCTGGTAGTAAGTGCTTTCGCCTCAAACTGCTTATTTAATGTTTTTAGAAGGTAATGTTGTGGACTTAGGGCTTACTCTTTCGAAGATACATTTAAAAAGCTCCTTGCTATGTTTTCCTCCTGAAACATACACCCAAGTGTCCAAACACATACCCTTGGGGAACCCAACATCCAACAATCGAGGCTTGTACGACTACTTTTGTGCAAGTTTTTAATTAGCCTTGTGACCTTCATCATTGCTTAACTAACCTCCTTGACTCGAAAGTCCCTTTATCGATCTTAGTTACAAGTTTGAGAAGATTGTAACTCAAAATTGGAATCCAGATTTATCTATATATGTTGTTGCTAGATGGTTTTCATTTTTTAGTTCTAGAGTGATGTCCGGGTTAGTTCATCCTTCCAAACTTCTACGAGTACATCTAAGAAAGAAAAATCAACTTCATAGAACTGTCAATCTAAGGTCACAAGGATTGGATTCTTGTCTAGAGATTTGACGGTGGAGAGCTAATGAGTCATGTTGTTGCAGTCAGATTCTATAGAAATGTGAGGATTCAGACATTATAACTTATAAATGTTTGAATACTATAAGATGAATTCATCAATTTGGCTATTAAAAGAGAGAGTTTTATCAGTACTTGTTCAACTCATTGTACAATTTCACAATTTAGTGCTCACTTGTGTTTTCTTTTTCTTTCTCAGGAAATTGTTTGTCTAACATGTGGGGATAAAGGAGATGTCAAGCTTCTTGTATACTGCTCACAATGTCGTGATTCTGCTGTACACCAGTATGTTTCATCAGTTACTTAATTAGTTTATGCAATATTCTTTATTTTGAGAATGAATTTCAAGTGGATATAAGCAATTGTAATAGTTTAATTTTGGATATAGTTTTTCCTAGGCATTTTTATTATTAAGCCGTATTCTTGCCTAGTAGAAAATCACATTTTTTCTTTTCCACTTTATGGAGTTTAGAAAAAGTACTGATGAATGTTTTAGTCTATATATTTCTATTTTGTTATCGCATGCACATGTACGTGTGCTTCTATTGGCTATAATATCGTTGATATTTTTAGTCTGTATATTGTTGTTCTATTATTGCTACGAGCATCTAAAAATGCCTATATTGACTTCAATATCACTTTACAAGCTCTGAAAAGATTATTAACTCGGCAGGTGTATTTCATTTTTCTTTTCCTTATTCTGCAGCTATTGCCAAGAGAAAATCACTGTTGATGATGACTATGCCGATTGGATATGTTGGGATTGCGCTCCCAAAGTTGCTAAGGATGATCAGGTCAGAAAGAGTGAACGGATAAGTGAGCGATTAAACCGTGCTTTTGATGTTCGAGCTGAATGGAGAAGAAAGCTTTACCATTGTAAAGTAAAAGCTCTAAGGTTAGATGAGGCTAGACATGACACAAGCGGAGAAGTTCAATCACCTACAGCCCATAGTCCTTTTCACGTTTTGCAAAAGGAGAAGCCTTCATTCGTTGATACTAAGAAACACAAAGACATTGGAGAAGAGTGTGCAGATGTATGCTATTCTGAACAGCATATTGAAATAGTAAAAGCAGGGATCACTCCACTAGTAGGTAAACGCCAGGAAGCTTATTGTTCAACATTGAACAACGAGGAAGGTGGAATGATAGAAAGAGCTCAAGTAAGAGGTGACTCTTCTGTGCAAGATTCAAAGAGTGCTCAGTCACTTGGTGAAATTGGAAAACAACAAGAGATGAGAAAGTCAAGCAGGAAGTTTGTAGTTTGTGATGATGACGGTGATTTTGAGGGAGAGGGTGGGGCAATTGGTGGAACTTTTTCTTCTTCATTCCCTGGTGAGCAAAATTTTCCACTTGACACTTTGTATGGTGATCCTCAAGTGGAATCTGTGAATTGTTTGTCAGCGGAGCCAGTTATTGATCCCATTTGGAGGTAAATACTTTTAACTTCCATTGCTTTAGATAGGCAATTACCTGTTCCAATTTAGATTTGGGATGCCTAAAAAGGCTTTTTCAGCGATTGCTACGAGCAATTCTCTCTGCTATTGCCTTTCTTCCCAACTTCTTGGTGGAAGGATTCTTTATTGAATATAGAAAAAAGAATTCTCTATTCACTGTCTTTATTTTTAACTGTAGGGGATGTTTAATCTTCAATACAGAGAGTCAAAGCAGTATTAATATCTTAGCTCATTTGTCAAACAAAGCCTGTGAAAAGGCGTGTATAGCAGCAACTAGGCTTCCTGTGAATCTTGATGTAAAACTTGTGTCCAAGAATGATGTATGGCCAAGGAGTTTCCAGAGGTTGCAACCAACAGACTGCAGTATTGCTGTGTATCTCTTTCCCGAGCTAGAAGAGTAATGTCATCTTATTATAATGCAGTCATTGAACATTATTATCCTGATGTTCTCGAATCTTATCTATTAATACTGTCTTTCAGGGATGAAAATTCTTATGATGCTCTATTGGAAGATGTTATTGAGAATGATCTTGCTATGAGCGCCACAATTGACGATGTGGAGCTTTTGATTTTTTCATCTTGTGTTCTGCCACAGAAACATTGGAGTAAGTAATGAATTCCTGCTTCCCAAGTCTTTTATTTTCTCCCACTGAACCGAGATATCAGTTGTATTGTATTCAATCAAACACTTATCAAACCTTCATCTTATACAGGGCTTCGTAGAAAGTACTATTTGTGGGGCGTGTTTAAACATAAGCCATCACGCTCAAGAATACCAACTTGTAACATTCTTGCACAAACTAGCAGCATTCAGAATGCAGCTACTAGTGATCTCCCAAATGAAGTCGAAGGTGCACATACAGGTAGTTCTCAGCAGGACCAGAGTTTCCCAAGTCCCTTGAGCATAGAGAAAGGCGTGGATTCTGGCAGTCCTCTAGGTCGCTTCCCAAGTCCCTTGAGCATCGTGAAAGGTGTGGATTCTGGCAGTCCTCCGGGTCGCTTCCCAAGTCCCTTGAGCATAGTGAAAGGTGTGGATTCTGCCAGTCCTCCGGGTTGCTTCCCAAGTCCCTTGAGCTCCTGTTGTGACATTACCTCTACAAAAGATTCTCCTTGCCATCATGAGAACTGAGGCTTCTCAATTAAGGGGTAGGCTTCTCGCCCCTCCATTGGTGACGGGCAGTTAAAGAAGATAGCTCATATTTTTTCGTGGTAAAATATTACTGAAATATCATTGAAAAACTTAGTATTTTGTTTGCAAACTTCTCAAAGTTGTTCATTTTTTGTGTTTGCATAATTTAAACTTGCATATGAAAGTATATTCTTTAGAGACACAAGGCATGTAAGGTCATTATTTTGGAAGTTGTATTTCATACACAATGCTTATAGGTTCTTGAAATAAGATATGGCTATTACTTATATTGATGACTTTCTACAAGTAGTTATCACATTTTTCTTTCTTCTGTTATAGGATCAGAGCCAGGTAGGATCAAGAGGTTCATTCGAACTTTTTCTGATGGAAAATTACATATTTATATATGTTTTTGAACTCTCTTTTAACTTCGTGTATTTACTTTTTCATTCATGGCTTCATCTTTAGATTGATGAAACATAAATTGTCTTTTAAACTTTCAAAATACATTACATCCTTTGGGCATGGATGGAAAATTTACTTATCAACATCAAAATACTTTTTCGAAGTATACATCTCGCGTTGTTTGCTACAAAGGATGAGATAAATAAAGTTATTTTACATATATTTGGGATGAAACATCTGGAGATTAATTAATAACCCTATTAAATGCAAAATAGGATAATCTAGCATTTTATCTTGAAACTATTATTGATTATTTCTCCTATCAAACGTAGTTGAATATGAAAGTTGACCTTTCAAATGCTTTAATGAGTTTGTTTATGAAAATTAGGGGTGTTTGTAATTCTGTTTGGATCGGTTTCTACCTTAAAGACGATAAAATCAATTTTTTAAATACAAGAAACAAATCAAATTATTTAAGTTATACATTGGTAGAGAAGTTTTCAACAGACTCTCGAGTCAAGGAAAAACAGTTCAAAGCAGCACGACAAAAGAAATAACTGGGGTCAAGAACTCATGGCAAAATACTACATAAAACATGAATTACAATAAAATAATACTATAATCAAAATGCTAGAAACAACCAAAATCGTGGACCAAGAAACTAAAACAATAATGCTACGACTCCTAATATGGAAAGGGTAATTGAGACAACGATGTACTATCTATGAACCTTCTATCCTAATATATATCATCTACGACCTTATACCTGTCGTAAAAAAAATAAAAAGTAAGATTATTAAGAGGGCAAACAAAATACCAAATCAATTAAACTTAGCCCAACAAATTGGTATTATATCAAAGCCCGTGGTGCGACTGGACATGCATGCAGATGGTGTAGAGGCAAAGAGAGGACTTGAAACGTATGAGTTTAGGAATTTAGTCAGTTTACACGACTAGGATCTAAATTAATAGTTTATACATATTCAATGGATTTCTTTTAATAACAATGGTGTCCACGCCAGTTTTGCGTGCACCTAGACTAGTATCTATCACTTTCGACCAGCAACAGATATCAGGTAACTCTGTCGACTAAACTAAAACAGACGGAAAGAAATCACCTAGCATTTTTGTCTCTACTGAGATTTGAAACTGAAAACTCATGGTTCTCAACTTACTTCATTATTCAATGGATTTGTTAATGCAAATACAAGATTTGAACCAAAGTCACCAGGTTCAACCGAATATATAATCTATACACTAGCTCCGTCCCCGGAGTGATGGCATGAACATGATAGTTTACTACCTTTGCCCATCCATTTCAAAAGTAGCTCTCATGTTAAGGCATGTGAAGAGCTGAGAAACAAGCCCACTAGATTGTGATAGCATGGGTTGGTTTACTATTTTTGTCCCATCAACTGATTGGTTTTCTACATTTATTCATAGCTTGGAAACATATACACAAGAAGAAGCATGAGCTTTGGTAGATTGTTGAGTACGCGAACAAAGTCTCAAATTGATAAGAAAAGAAAGGTACATATGAGGTGTAAAGATGTAAGACAAAGCTGAGAGCAGTGATAGAAGCTAAGAATTTGTGTAATGAACTATGTTGCTGGGACTCTCCAAAAATACTTTACGCCTGTGTCAGATCCCCCAAAAAGGATCAGGCACACACCTAGCTAGCAGTATTTTTGGAGAGTCCGTGAAACATAGATAATGAATTCTACTATTTGGTGAAACTGAAAATTGGTGATTGCAGCAAGATCAAGTTTTAGGAAGATTATGGTCTAGGCACACTTGTAAGGATGTAGACATGGGAAGGACCGAACCACAATGGTTGCATTTCTGCAACAACCTATTTCCACGGTTTGATCCTGTGACCTACTACTCACATTGAAACAACTTTACTAGTTATGTTGCAGCATTCAAAAGGTAACTAGACAGAGATGCTTTTACATTAATAACCAAAAAATAGGCAAAAATGGACAATAAAAGACAGAAGCATGCTATAGTAGTCACCTGTAAAATTCTGTAAAACAGATGCAATTTTGTTCTCAAAGCAATTACATAGGCTTTAAGGTCTACATATGTTAATGTATAAATGAAATTGACAAAGTTACCTAGTAACTTAAATCTCCGAAACTCATCGGACTTTGACCAAAAATTTTCTGCTGTGCTGTATCTTCTTCCATCTAAATGGCCAGCATTCACCTTGACACTAAGGGAAAAAAGGTTTTGATCTGAACTAGTTGTATAGTTATGAAGAAGAAAGATCTGCTGATCCTAAGCTCACTAGGAAAGCTACATACGACATTTTAAACAAAATGATGTGTTGGATATTCATGCTCGTATCCATTGTAATCATAGTACAGCCGCTCTCCCTTGGCGATATCACGAATTGTAACCAGAAGAACATGACATGCGCCCTTTACACTGTATCTCACACATTTCAGGTTCTGCTTCTTCTTACCCTCCCTGCAAAAATTGGAATAGCCTCAAGTACAGTAAGTTGGTTGTTTTCAATTTCTATAAGATCTCTTGATATGAAAAGTTTAGACATTCCGAAATTGATTGTAGGGGGTTGATGGAGCATATCATAAAAAGCAAAGACTTTAGAAAGCCAAAAGTTATGGAGGAAAAAAGATGGAGAAAAATCGAGTTTAAGAAGGAAAGATTGAGGTTACTAGCTTACGGTGAATGGTTATTTATGCCATTGATAAACCGAGAAATGTTTCCTCGCTTATCAGGGCAGATAACAAGACTTTTTGATGGATCTCTTGCTAAAAGAAGGGTCATCATGCTATCACAATCATCCTCCTGCCGATTCCTGATATAATCCACATCGCCTGTATATTCTGCTAATATTGTCAAGTCCTTTATAGGCCCATCAGCTTCTACAGTATAGCTGCATTAATACGATGCATGAGATTTCATGTAACAAACAGACGAGAAACTCACAACAATCTGAGGTGACTAGGCATACCCTTCACGAGAATCAAAAACTACCATCAGAGGAGGGCATTCCCCTCTTTTATACATAGCTCTACACTGCTCCAGGGTTTCAGTGTCTTCTTTTGAGAGAACCTAAAACAAAAGGAAAAAATTACGTGGTGATGTATGAGCTAACACCTTATAACATTCAAAGAGCAATAGAATAGACCGACTGACTGTGAGAACAATAGCAAACCTGCATTCCACCACTTTCAAAGTTGGCACTGTTAGCAGATTTACGAGCCATGCCAGGCATGTAAGTTAGCTCATCGCTGAATTCCATATCGAGAGCTGTCAGTGCAGAAGCAAGAGATGCCATTTGAACTAGCTTCCTGTGAGGATCTTCTGTTGGAATATATAGTGATAGCCTTCTGCGTCTCTTGTGGAAAACTAGTGAACGCTTCCGACGTTTTTTGATATCTACTGACAATGTTGACAGGTAAAAATGGAAAAATCAGAAACTAACGATACCTTCTTTTAAAAGTTTTAAGGAGAAAAATTCACTAGCTTGCAATGGATTACAAGGGTCTGGTAGCAAAATATATCTAAGGAAATCTCTGAGATTAGAAAGCGAATCTACTCATAATGAAATATAAATTCTCTTAAATACAAGTCATAAATTTACATTCCTAAAAACAGAATGATCAAAAATTGCAGCATATAACACAATATCAGGAAAATAGAAAAAGAAAACCAAGGGAGTAACCAGTGTTGTGAAAGGTGATCGCCTCGTTGCCAATGGGGAGAGGCGAGAGACGAGAAAGGCAATTGCCTTCTGTATTTTCTTAAAAAAAAAAACTACCGATGTAGCAACAAAATCATATCAGTGAATTGACAAGCAAAAGTTCATATTTTACCGACAATTTTTGAGCTAACCAGTGCTATTACACTGCATAGATAGTTGCATAAATGTTTCTAGCAAGCTTAATACTTACCTCATAGGTGAGTGGTTTGATCAAAGCATATATTATTTAAGCCTCAATCCAAACTAGTTGCCGGATTTGGAAAAACCAGAATGCGTTGGTGCAAAAATTTGATCAAGCACATCGTCATTGAGACAGATTATTATTAAATTCCTTTCTTATGTACACAAGTATAACTCTATCACAATGGCAACAGTCGCTTTTTAGACGTTAGAACATTTAAGGAAGTGATCTTTTGTTAATTAAACCTTACTTAGCTTGAATTCTTTTTCTGAATGAAGAAACATTTTGTGTTCAAAAATCCAATTTCCTCATTAAGAAAGTAATGACTAAGTAAGATACAATTGAACAACCTTAATGTCCTACCAAACGACTGCAGAAAAGAAAGTATGTTAGATGGAGTTATTTGTTAACTAATGAGTTATCCAATTCAGTGGATAAATTAAGAGAAACTTATGGTTCATTAACATAATTCAGAGATTACTCTATTATTAATTATTTTGCTAGTAACTTTTGATTATCAAATGGCATCTGACAAAAGCTATACTGCAAAGACAGAAAGAAAAGTTATTAGCAAAACACATTTGATCACAATGATAAGTTAACTGCAGGATGTTGATTCTTCCATCAATTTTTGAGATAATGAATGTTGAACCTAAACATCAAGCACACTAAACTCATTGATCCACCAACTTTAAACTAAATATGGAAACAAAAGATAATGATTGGAAAACGTCAATCCATATTAAAAGAGAAAATAGCAAAAGTACTTTAGCAACCAAAACATAAATTTGCATAAATTGGAAAAGAAAAAGAAACACTCACTACTATATAAAGGGATGATCTTGCACTTCGCCAAAAAGATAAAGAAATGCTCGCGACTAAATAAAGGGATGATCTTGCACTTACCCAAAAAGATAAAGAAACACTCGCTACTATATAAAGGGATGATGTTGCACTTCTCCGAAAAG